GAGAAGGGGTGTTTTTTTAGTCTTCTTCACCATGCTTTAAACTGATTGTGAAGATCACATCTTTATTAGCTAACTCTCAGAACACAATGTTAAAACTATCATACCATTTGCATTAGTTCTCTCCCCACAGAACAACTAATGGCCTGTTTGATAGTGGGGTATCAAAAATATATTTCTCTCTCACAATGTTAAAAAAATAGGTGGCTAGAGGCTGAAGAAGGAATTACTTCCTCCATGACAACTTGCTAAGAGGAAGAGTGTGGTGTGAGGTTCAAAATTTATTAGTCAGAGAATCCACATAAGAAGGAACACTATGAATATCCTCACCGTGGAAAGAGGCTTTGTTGATGTTTATTCTATACTAAGTACTGAAGAATACCTGCAGCAGCACCCATGACCATCGAATAGATTTTTGCATGTCTTGCAAAAGTACTAATTTCAACTCAAAATCCCAAATGGAGGAAAAAGCTTCAGAATATCTTAGGTTCCTCTTTTTTCTTCTTTCCCTAGTATGTGCATTAGCTTACCAATAATGGAAGTATGCAGCCCTACTGCAATTCAATCAACACGTAAGTCTTGTATGAGAAACATGTCTTTTGGAATCAGACTCTGTTAGTTTATATGAAACTATTTGTTAGATTTTTTTTTTTTAATTAGAAAGTTTAGGAACACAGAATACTATAGCTGTCAGCTGCCAGACAATCCAAGCAGCAATTATTTTTCTGCTACCTCTTGCAATCACATGAAAAAGAGAGCAGAGTATCAATATTGAAATCTACTTTTGCTTTGGAATATTTGCAAACAATTCCGTGCAAAAACCTCTGCTCTGTTCCATCTTCTTAATAACCCTCAGAAATTCCTTACATCTCTACAATGAGGAAACATTGAAGTTATGTGCATATCACAACCAGTACCAGGCCCACAGAGACAATTACTACCTTAACCCAAGACTAAGCGGGTGCTCGTGACATGCAACTGAAATTGTGCAGAATGTTGAAACTGGTCTTTCACAGCTTCCTTCATCACTATATTCAAACTTGCTGTGATAGTGCTAGTTTTGCATTGCTTTTAGGTCTTGTTAGTCTGAGGGATATTTGGCTGCATTAATGAAAAAGCATGAAAACACCACAAGTCTGTTAAACTAGTATGACAGTCAGGGAGAACCATAATCATCCAAGTGCACAGGTGGTTCCAAGTGACACAATTTCTTCTGTTAATCCAATGTAAATTCAAGTTTGTGCTTTAAATAACATGAGGCTATGACTCATCATCTCTGACTTTTGGGCAAATGTAGGTATGAGAAGTCCTTCTAATAAGGACTGTAGACTTGTGATGTGCTTGGTCACAGAAAAATTTGAGTTTGACATTTCCAATATTCATTTATTTGAAATTAAATATGCCTTGTAAGATCCATAGAGAGTCTAAAATTCTGCAAATAATTGAGCTAGCATTGCCTGTGAAAACTAGGAAAGTATTGAGGGCAGGGGGAAGAAACACTTACCTTTCCCAAAACACTAGAACAGAGAAACAAGAATTATTCTACATCCCTGGAACAGATACTAGTTAAAATAGCTGCACAAAACTAGGAGTATCAGCATAGTGAAATGGAGCATTTCATACAGCAAATGCAGCCAGTACTCTTTGGCTCTGTAAGAAGAGCAAGAAAGATGTCTAGGCTGATCACTTTCTTCATCCATACAAGTACAAAACTTTAATAATTAAAAAGAGCTTGGAAATTCTGGACTTCCTGATGGTAGCAATAAGACACAGGCCAAAAAAGAGACTGCATGTTCTAGCAACAGATATGCATATAAGTAATTTTTCTTTTAAATAACTGTATCATAAGGCAGATCTAATTAAACAAAGATAACCCATGGATGAGGTGACAAAGGGAAATTCCAACCGTGCTTTTTTGAGGTTTAATTGTCAACATCAGATAACGAAGAACATTACACACAAGCAGGCATACAGTTCTACAAGCTAAAATGAAAATTCTCTCTTGAAAGTTCTTCATTTTCAAGAGAAAATTCTTATTTTAGCCAATAAAACTAACTTTCAAGAGCTCAGCTGCTTCTAACTTTGGCCACTTATTTCCAAGACTCTAAAAATTAGATATGGGCTTTCTCAAGAAAGAAAACTTTTTTTCCCCTTGAACTAACTAGCACAAGTGTACGTTCCCAAAATATAGAGAATAGAACACAATCTTATTGTATTGAAAATTGACTAATTTCTCCAAGTTTTCAGAAGTCACTATGAGGTTTGAATAGACTTTATCTCTTGGGTGTTTTGTTGTTTGTTTTTTTTCACCTGAAACTGCATGAATTGTATGTCAGAATTTTATTCTTCCATGTCAACCAGAAGATACCAGAAAATCCATAAAGACATAGTATATCTGGTCACAGAGATGCAAAATTCCTGACAGAATATAATCCTACAAATAAATTATTATACATATATTTCATCTTGGCTACAGAGTAATGCAATTAGGTAGCTGTAATGTAAGACAGAAAAAAAGTTTATGGAAATCAGAAGAGGTCCAATTAAGGAATGACATAATTCATTATCTTTTTCCTATTCACCTCACCAGTTTATTTTTTGTTCCACAAACTTATTCATTGTGTATTTATATATTAAAGATTAGATTACTCATCTTGAATTATTGAAAACGTTATCATAGTTATGGTTTTAAAATTAGAATTAATCAAACTTAAACTATGACATGCCTGAGTCACAGTTCAGTATAATTTGATCCATGTGGACATGAACACTGTAATCCTAATCACTATTAGTTCTGGTCCACTGACATCAAATATAGCACTTGGGTTGAACAATGCATCATGAAAAAGTTTGGTTAAAATGAAAGACTGATTTACTCCTGAATGAGAATATCTGTGTAATGTTACACTATTTCACAAGTTCCTACACTGAAATAAAAATACTACAGGGCTTTTTTGATGAAACTCTGATAAGGTAGCATGGACTTCCCTATACTATTAGTCCAAACTAATTTCAGCATGAGTGTAAGCATTAGAATATATACCTTAGCATATATGGCAAAATGCTTACAACAGGAAAATCAGACTTGTTCTCTCAATTTTCTAAGTATACTATTGAAAGGTACAGAGTCATCCCAAGAAGACTCAGGAAGTGATATATTTGCTGACTGTTAAGCTGGTAATGTTTCTGCTGTAATACAATTGGGCTGTCAGGTCATCGAGGAGAACGTATGAAGATCCATTTTAAAAATTAAAGAAAGAAAAAGTTACAAGTTGTTACCATAGCATTCTGTGCTATGACTCAAAAGATGTAAATTCAAACAGCCTGCACTAACAAAATCCTTTGAATCTCTTATTATTTCAAAAGCATCATGTTTTTAATTCTGATCAGGCAGAGTTTCTTGACATTTTCCTCTCAAGTATTCTGTTCCTACTCTTACTGCTTGTGCAAAAGTGTTCTTCCCATCAGTTACAAGTATAAATATATTTAATACGGAGGCTTTGGTCTCTCAAGAAAAGAAAACATCTCTTGCAAGTAACGATTCTTGAGAAGGAAGACACAAGATAAAACTTAAGTGTATACCACCATATTCCTTTTATGGCAGCAGTCCCGGTTGCTTGTGTTACACAAAACTATGCAAATCAAAGACACAAATTACGTCAAAAAGCCAGTTCATGTAAGCATGTACATCATGTAAGCAGGTACATCACAGAGTTGAGTGACAGAGGAATACTAAACACACTGAGGCCCTTTCTTCTTTCAAAGTGAATGGGGTATAGAGAAGAAAGACTTATTTTCAAGTGAGAAGAAAACTTGATCCTGTGTGCAGAAAGCATACAAAAACCACTCTACATACTCAACCCCACCATAATTAGAACCATCCTTCCCTTGCAAGATTTGAGAGCAAAAAAATATTACTCTTACAGTGATGAACGCAGCAAAACTATAATTTCTAATTCAGAAGTTGTCATTTGGTTATCTTTTCACAACCTTTAATTCTGTCATCCAAGAAACTTAACACTCTCTCATCTTTGTGCCTTTAACTGATCCAGTGCATTACATTATGTTTTTCCTGTTAGCTGGAAATTTTTTCCCCTTTTATAGACCTTGATATCAGAACAGAAAAAGGACATTAAAAAAATTAATTACTTTTTTTGTAAGCAATGAAATATCGTGATGATAACAGATTCCCAAAAGAAATGCTAGCTATGACAGCATATTCTTTCTCAAGTGTCATGCATGTTATAACGGGGAAGTCATACAAAAATAATGAATGGGTATAATTTGCCATTAGCTCAGGGTACGTGGGGTTCCACTGAGTCTTCAAGAAAAACAGCTCACGTGTAGCTCTAGGTTGAGGCAGCTGGAATACCACTTCCTCCTTTTGCTCTGCACTCCATCTGTATAAGCACTGCATCCAAATCAAAACCAAGTTTGAATAGTTTGACTTGGTTAAAACTGCTCTGTTAGAACAATGCAAAGGGTCATTTCAAAGCAATTCAGTGACTTTTAAAAGTTTCCTCCATGGGAATAGTACATGCAATGCTATACCTTTTAAACATTCAGGGGCAAGAGCTAGCCCTTAAAAATTATTTTTAAAAACTGTACAGACGTCAAAAGAAAGACTAAAAGTCCAGATCACTAGATCCCACAGAAAGAGTGGTATAGAAGGACATTTTAAAACAGTTGTATTTAACAGCATCTTATTGCAAAAGGAAAATGATTTTGAAGCCTGAGCTATTCAGTAAGTCAAAAAAAGAAATTCTTAAAATTCCTTAAATCTATGCATCAGATTCATTCTTCTCCACCCTACATGTTTCACACCATTTTTTTGTTTTGCTTCTTCCATCAGGACCTAAATTGAGTACTAGGGAGAAAATTCAACTTCTGTTGGAATGCAAAGTTGTAACAAACAGCTGCACTTATAACAGGGCATTTAGAGGTCTAGAAATAAAATAATTATTATGCAACAAACATACGTAAATTAAGGTTTTACAAGGTACCTGGTATTGAGTTTGTTGCTCTTCCCATTTTGGGGGGGGTACTCTTCTATCACATCCTGTACAAAAGATGGTTGCTGCCATTGTGTTCTGGTGTTTGGCAATGTTCCCATGTGGCTAAACATGTCACAAGACCTTGTGGCAATTGTACCCTTCTTCTTCCTGGGGAGAGTGCCATGGATAGAGATGTCTTGAAAGGAGTCTAAGCGATGCTCAGTTGGTGAAGGTTTAGTGGTCAAAAGGTCCATGGAAGAAGCTAGTGGGAACTGGTGGTTCACTGGGCCATTTCTGGGAAGACTTGAAAATTTTCCTGCAGCTATCATTTTTGCATCTGGAAAAACAGAAACAAGATTTATCATAGCACATCAATTGATGGAAGTTAAATAGCATAAATTACAAAGGCATCTAGAATTGAGCTTCTGCTTTGCTTTAAAACAGTCAGATACCTCAAACTGTAGCCTGTATTATAATCCAGTCACATTGCTCCCAACTGCATGTGAAGCACACATATATATTAACTTCTATACACATGAAAAGTCATAACAGAAAACAACCTATCTGGATACACATGCAAGAGCAGGCCCAGAGCAATTCTTCATTTTTATCCACAAAGTTCCTCTTTCTTGCTCCCTCATATCCTCTTAAGACTCAGACATCAAACTAGAATCATTAACAAAAAGCAAAGTTTTATGAACATTTTGACAAAAAAACAAAGGACACTCTACATCTTGGTTTGGAAGAATATGTTTCTAAATGCAGTAGTTGGCACACTATGAGGAAAAAGCTTTCTGAAGATCTTGCTCAAGTAATAAATCTAGCAGAGAACTGGTCACATATTTCTAACAGGCTGTAAACTAAAGGGCTACCCAAGAGATAAGGGTAGGAGCAGACTGTTGGAATTCTCTTCTTCAGCATGCACAGCCTGCTGGCTCAAATCGTTGACATTAGGGATTTGCATAGCTGTCAGTCTCTTGTACAATCAGTTATAGCCTACCATAAAGTACAGGTTTTTCTGTTATCATAAGCAAGATTGTTTGTCTCACAAAGTGTTCAGGTACATTAATAGATTGCTGTTCTGTTCCTCAAAAAATGCTTCTTTATGCTCACTATATAGTGATACATTACAGAATAAAAGCTGCCTTATCCTATCTGGTTACAATAGGCTGCAAAAGCCACTCTGTGGAACATACACACTGACCTAAAGGTCAACCAGCCCTACGTTATTTAACCTAGGTGGTAGTCAACCAGGTGCTTCCTATAAAAACTGGAAAAGCCACAGGAACAGCAGAGATTGATATGAAATCAGAAAGCAGAAGAGCTTTAGGAAATAACAGTTATGGACAGAAAGAATCTGACTTTGGTCAAGTTTCATGCTGAAAAATTAAAGTAGCACCCTGAAGGCCTAGCAGTCTGGAACTCAGCTGCCTACAGCTACACAAAAATTCCTCTGGTTTTGGGGAATGCACAGGTGTTGCAAAGAAGACAGAGCTGCCTCTATAGTACTCCTGCTCTCTTCTCCAGCGTCAGCATCACAGGTACTATCAAAGTGTTGCTGTACTGAAGCTACTGTTACTTCTACACAGAGGTTATCATAACAGGCTTAGTTTTACAGTAATGCTAAAGCTGATCTCAAATTTATGAAAGAATTCTGCTATTTCCTGTCAGCTGCACTGCAGAGATTCACAGGCTGGGTAAGGTTTCCAGACATCAACAAATCCTTTCCCACTTCTCCCTTACTGAAGGGCATCAAATAAATATTCATTAATTACAGATGATAAATATTAATTTTTTTTTTTAATCTTCAATTTGTCAAGGCTCTGTCTGACCACATAGTACTATGTACTACAGTAGAAAAGCCTCTGGAAACAGCACCTCTGCCCAGAGAGAACCTGTTTGACTTTAGTCAGGTTTCTTGTTGAAAAAAGCTGAGGAATTAAGAACTGACATTTTTAGTTACAGAGATCCAAACAGAATTCAAAATCCTAAAGAAACCAAACCATACTGTCACAAAAAGTCCACTATAAATTACTATACGGACCCTTGATGTGAAATACTAAGTCACCTCTCCATTTATCATGTGGTTTGAAGACATATTTTCTGCTGGCTAGTCTTACAAACATCACACAATTATTTCCAAAATAATAAAAGAGTGCTGTGAAGTTAGTTTTGCATTACAATTGTTCTAAAAACGAAACGACTGATTCAGAGATAGGAAGATCTTAAATGCAAATACCACAAAGCTACAGCCTCCTATAGCTAAAGCAAACTGACAGAGCTTGTTTCCAGTAAATTCAGCTTTATTATTACACAGGAACAATAAAAATTACCTCAAACAAGGGCGGGGGGCGAGCTTCAAAATCACATGATCATTTGAAAACTCAGCTTTATGTGTTTATTGTAGTAAGGCAACAAACACCATTTATACAGAGCCTGAAAAATTGGAGGTTAGCTTGCTCATATTGCACAAAGATGTTATTCTTTTGAGGGCTGATGAGATTCCATACTTAATAATCGTACTTCCTTATCGGTTTATAAAAAACATTTTCAAACCTCTGAATTCTGACTATTTGAGTGAAGGTTGTCCAGTCAGAGAGATTTTCCTTAGGCTGCAAAATTACCACCACTATGCTGAAATGGAACACATGACATTTCATGCAAATAGTTATCAAAATCAAGTAGGTATAAACTTAACCAATGAAAGCTTCAGTTTAATAGTTGATACCAGATGAGTTCACAATAGGTTAACAATGACAGTAAACTGTCAACCACTTCATGTTTGAGTATCCATAAAAGAATGCTGAGTATTCTCTCTCCTAACCAAATCACAGGACAAATATTATAGCAATCCAGCAGACTTCCCATCCAACAGTTTGAGAATTTTCAACAAACAATGACCCTCTGAGGTATTTTCTGTATAACCTCCTCTCCTAAGAAGTCCTTCTTAAGAAAGAAAACCCAACTCCCTCAGTTATGTCCCAATCATTGCACCTTTTTAAGTCACTCTCAGTAACATCCCATGATTTACAAATTCAATACTCAATCCTCAAATTCACACCTCAGTTTTGTTTTGAGGAATCAAGTTAGAGTTCCAAAGTTAGTACAAAATAGCTACATTCAAGAATTTGTAAGACACTTAGCCACTGTTGTACTCTTCATAAATGTAAAATAAGAACTACAATAATTAGCTCAGCAAGAAAAGTCCTGCCAAACTATCCATAGATTTTTTCTCATATTGAATGTAAACACTGCAAGGAGGGAGCCTCTTCAGTTGAAGACTCTGGAATGTCTCAAATACTTTAGCATATGATTCAAAGAATGTTTGACTTTACTAGATACAAAAACCCTGAAAACTTTACTCCCTAAGAGACAGTATGCTTTGAACATACGCCATCATGCAATCAACAATGGAACTAGTAGAAATTATAGTGGAATAGCCCAAAAGAAACTGAAATCTAACTGTACACATACCTATTTGTCAAAATGCAGCCTCTAACAAAACAGAACAATTAGGAAGTCATACACATTTCCCCTAACTAGATGCAAACAAGACTGACTCATGCCAATATAATGTTAAAAATGTTAGGTGAATTTGTATTTATATAGAGAGTGGCATTTCACTTTCTTCAGTCTGTAATTTGGGAAAGTATATGGGAATGGAATTGGCAGGAGTCAGACTGTGAATTCAGAGAACTGGAGGGCATGAAAGGTTTCCAGGTAACTCCTGAAATGTTCTAGTTTTTTGTTAGGAATGAGGAATACAAATGAAGAAGTCTTTAAAACCAGCATGGCGTTTTGAAAAGCAGTATAAGATTGGGCATCAAATAAAACACATATCTGGTGGGCAAGACCAAACATGCACCAAACTCTAACCTGATGGGGTATGCATCTCTTCACATCATTGCTCAAAACAAAAAAGATCCATGTGAACAAATGACCTTCGCTTCCCCAAAACAACATACTAATGGAAACCTCACAAAAGGAAATAGAAAAGCAGTATCAGAGTTCTGAATCAGACTCTCAAGCTATTTACCTCAGAACTCTTGAGTTACATCTAAATCAGTTTTGGACATTAAAAGATTCACACTTCTTTCGAAGTTTTACTGATCTGCAGTCTGGGTCATTCTCCCTGTCAGACCAAAGTCTGTGACGTCTATTCCTGCTGTTATCATCCTATCACCAATGCTACAATACTTTACTCAGTCATACCACATCTTTATCATTACATATGCTATGAAGCTAAGAGGGCTTGAGCATGGTTTAATAGATCCAACTGAAGAACAACTACAAGATGGTGCCAACTTTTTGTGAAAATCCTACTTACTTCTGACACAGCAAATCTCCTCATGACCTCCTCTCACCTACCTGTCCACCCTCCCTCAAAACCAGTAACAATAAATTACGGTGAGCGGGATACATATTACTCTCTTCTCCCTGCTAAATTACTTGGCATATTTGCATGCACTATGCAAAAGCACATGGGAAATAATTAAAATGATCAACCTTAATGGTGAAGAAAGTCAAGTTCAGGACAAAAACCAGATCAATTCCCTCAGATTTATTTTTTATGTAGTAAGAGAGTAAGTTCGGGAAACAGAAGAATCATAACTGAAAAGCCATTAAAGCTAACTTATCATAGGAAGAAATACAGTTAAAACTATAGCTACTCTAAACTCAAAGTACATTTTATGTTAATTGACTCCTTAGAAGCAATGTAGTCATTTTCATTAGTATAACAAAAAAAGAAGATTCCTGCTCCCAAAATGGCTTAAAAAGCTTTCTACAACCTGTATTTTCTGTTGTTTGGGGTTTTCTTTTCAATAAGATAAACAATGCAGTAGCTGCTACAGCAAACAGATCACAGGACTTTGAGAAGAATATTAAGGTTCAAGAACCTGCAGCCTGTTATGATACAGAAAAACAGACTGAGAAAGCATACACAATAGTACAAAGGCTTTAAGCTACTATCAGAAAAAACATGAGTCTGTCAAACATCAAAAAATCCCCACAAAATTACAGCTAGGTCAGTGCTTCCAAATGGTCTTGAAGTGCGATCAAAATGTTCGTGTTCTTTCTCCCCCTACATATGTCATACAATTTCTAGATCCCATACATCCTTGCACTGCAATCTGACAATCTATTAAAAAATAGTATTTTTAACTTTTATTCTTAGGCAACAGAAAGCACACAGGCCAGGATAAATTATCTTTGAAATTTCTGTTTTGAGATGAGAGAAACAGATAAAACCCACACTTCATGAGTTTTCACACGTAGAATGCCTTGGTATCTATAAAAAATGCCACAAAGAAGTGATCATCGAGGAGGATTCAACAGTAAGTAGAGACCTCCTCATTTAGCTTATACTGTGAAACTATCTCAGAAACTTAAGTGCCCAATCACTTAGCTCAGTAAATCCTGAATGGTATGAAGCCTTGACTTGAAATAAACATTCTCTCCCCATTTTGCAGGCAGAAATAGAGGACTTCACCGAGATTACAGTCAAACCTAAGCATTTTTCAGCTAATGCTTCAAAATACAAGCTTTTGTTCCTCCTCTAGTACAGGAAGTCATTTATTATTTTGCCTGCTCCTCTGTTCCCACGTTACTGAAAAAAACCCCAGAAAACAACCCACTCTAACTGAAAATGAAGTATTTCAAAAAACCTTTTCAGCAGTAAGTATGCACTTAAGCACTCTGGACTAACAAGAGTCCTGTGTAAATTACAAATTTGGACAATGAAGAAGCACTTTTATATAGGCTCCTCTAACTGACAAAAAAAAAAAAAGATACAGCATTTATTTTCTCTCTACCCAGCGAAGTATCTTGGTATCTCGAGTACTTATACTTTAAAAATATTTAATAGTATGCATGGCATCTATTCCTATAAAATCTAAGCATTGGATCAAACATCTCAGCAGCTACTGCCACAGCGATGGCATTTCTAGCAGTCCGCAAGGCAGCCGCCGCCAGGGCCAGGGCTGGCCCTGCTCCTCCGCTCTCTGCTGCCACAGAGGCAGGGACAGAGGGACGCTCACACACACACACCAACAACTTTTAACTCTCTGCCCGGGCGGACAACGCCGGCTCCACAGTTACCAGTCTGCTCGCTGCTGCTTCTTTCCAGGCCTTCTGGAGATTAGTTAGAGGCTTCGTCCCGACCAAGCGATCTCCTGGCAGCGAGTGCCGTGCAGTCCCCCGAGGCTGCGGCGCCGGGGGCAGCGGGCAGCCGGGCAGGGGAAGGGGTGGCCGGAGGCCGAACCGCACCACCGGCGGCCCGGAGCGCTTCCAGCAAAGCCACCGGGACGTTCTCGGGGAGCGCGCAAGGTATGGCCGTGCCGCGGTCGGAGCCAGCGCGTACGCTTGCACCAGCCTGCCCTAAGGAAGAGCAGTTCGCGATAAGTGAACCGAGGGTGACTCAGCCGGAGCCTGCCCAGAGCTCCTTATCGCTCACTCGCCCGGGCCGCCGCGGTACGGCGCTGGCTCCGCGGCTCCCCCGTCCCCACCGCAGCAGAC